ATTCCTTCTTGTAGCTGGTGAGTGACTTTTTAATTTCAACCATGTTGCAACCCATTCATCTACATTGCTTTCATCATTTCAATTTAAATTCCATCTACCTTGTTGACATTCACTGTCTACATCCATCTATCCAATTTTCCTTTATTCTTCCCTTTTACTACTATCTCATATTAATATGCTGTATCTGTTGATGTAATCACTTTCTTGTCCTGTCTACATACATCATTCCTTATACTTATTTTACCTCTCATTTGAATCCATCATCTCCTAATCAGGTTTACCTGAGATCTTGCAATACAAAGTACCTGAGATCTTGCAATACAAAAGACCCAAGCCATTATTGGAGACACTAGGAAGTTCATGGAATTTTCAATCATCAGAAAAATTGAAAGGAGTATTACGGGAAGCATTAATAACACATTATGAAAATTTTATGCTTGGAAAAACTGATAAAGGATCAATACCTGTTTATATGATATTATCTGGTGCCGGAACTGGCAAGTCTCGAACAGCCACGGAATTACAGGGGTTGGCAATTGAATGTACTGATGATCAACCTGAGTTGTGCAACAGACTAAAAGAAGCATTAGTCTTCAACCTCTCATTTGAAAATGGCACAGCATTTGACGTTGCTTTGGAAAAAGATACTCAGGAAGCTATAGGAAAACGAATGTTATTTCAGCTTATAGATGATATTAATAGCTGGCAAACATTTATCAAAAATTGTCCAAACGTTATTCCAGATCAAATATTTGACAAGATTGCAGCTAGTTATGGTAAATCTACAAAGGATTTGACAATCTTCCTCACAATAGATGGCATGCAAACAACCATGGCAGATGAAAACGACGGGAAGAACAAAGCATCTATGTTCTATTCTATGCTTACACAATTGTCAATTATAGCCCGATCTGGGTTATTTGTTATTTGTACTTGCACAGCAACCATTCACGCGCCTTTTGATCAATTTCTTGCTGCTTCCCACCAATTGCGCATTTTTCTCCCAACATGTTCTTTGGACCCACCGACGCGTCTGAATAATGGCCAATGTTTGTCAGTTTTCTTGAAACATCCAGTTATTGATATGCTTGTTGAAGATATGGGCGGACATGGACGGGCCCTAGAATCACTGGAGATGGCCCTTCAAGACAAGGATTTGGATCGATGCAATTTTGTGGATATTTTGCATAAGATTCGTATTCAGTTGGAGAACAATTATAGTCTATGGTTATCAAAGGATTACGCAGATGACCTTATCCCCCTCATCCGTGTTATTTTGACAGGTGAGGTGGTATCCCTCAATGGTAATCTTCCTGGAACGAACACCAAGGTAGAGTCATATACCAGTCTGGGTTTGATTAGATTTGAAGGAAGTGGTGGCTTTGGTGGCTATGGACGCCTAACTTGTCCATACGTTTGGTTATGGATAGTCGCACATAATACCAATGACCCTCTTCTCCGGGAATGGAATTTTTATGATGTCAAAGAAGTACAACATAAGAATGATCCCACAGACTATCCTGCAGGAGCGCAGTTTTGGCAGCATTTCGAGGAATTTGTTGCAATTGTACGAGCTCTCAAATCCAAAGTGTATAATCAAAGTGATGTTGTTTCTCTGGAAACCATTCATAGAGGTGCAAACCATAGCTTTGATGATTTAAAGATTCTCAATCGACATTTACGTATTGCAAGAGCGATTCATCAGGAGCAGACTGCATCTACTTCAGTACGCTTAGTACAGTGTGATAAGGAACAAGTTAATGTGGCAAATTGTGAACATTGCATAATCAATGGCTACAGCGCTTCAGCCGGAGATATTTTTTTAGGGATAGAATATGCTAATACAAAAACCGGAACTAACACAAAGGCACTTGAAGTTCACCAATGCAAGTTGGTGAAGAATAACGTAAGCCAAAAATTATATGAAGCAGAGCGCGAGAAATCAATGAATAGTAATCGTAAGGATGTATTCATATTATATACTTGTGGAAAGGCCAACGTCTCTCCTCCAAGTGGCTGTGCCATCGTTAGTCAAGAGAATTGGAATTCATACTTTGGTCCTTTCGCCGGGCGAGCCTTTAAATATGCGGTCACAGGACCGGTTAATGTAAATACTGGCACCATGTTTCAGCTTTCTGCTACTGAAGGAATTGGTAAGACACGGGCAGGAATGATAATAGATGCACGAAGAAAGCGCCGCAGACCGTATACTGAAAAGGATAAGGAAGCCTTTATGAAGGATACTAAAATACCTCGAACCGTTGTTCATAGGCTTTCCTTTGAATCTGTTGATAATACTGCTTTCATGTCTGCTAACCCTGGCATTGTTACTGAAATCTGAAAGAATCTTCAATCTAATATCCTACGCGGCGAAATATAGGTAATAAATTGTTACTCAAAAAACAGAGTTGAGAGAAGGTAAGGAAAAATCTAAAAGACTGCAGGAAGCGAAAGACAGGGGCAAAAGAAGTTGATTCTTGCTTCCTCATAATATTTGTTGTGTACCTCCAAGGATTAATAAAATAAACACTCTTCCCGTCGAAATATATATGTTTCAAGAGTTCTTCCTAAAATTAATACGCGTATACTTTTACTGCTTTTTCGATTTGTCGCGCGTATCATTCCAAGTCTTCATTGCATCGTCAGCATCCATCATCTAATTATATAGACGTCAGCATACAGATATAAGATTCGGTGTGCAAACAGCCGCATGCAACAATGGCTTACCTTATAAACCCAATCATTTAGGAATCCGGGCAGTGCTCTGAGCACTGGCATCATATTGACGTGATACGGGATCAAAATATCTGATGTCTCATTCTTGTCTAATGCGGTTATAATCTTTTTCACGATTTCAATTGGGGCAAGGGTTGGAGCGAAGAATGGGTATTTGCACGATACTCCGTCGAACATGCCAGTCTCTACTTGCCCAGGACAAACAAGTGTGCATCGGACATTACTCGCGTTGTAGCTAAATTGAACGCGTGTCTGCAATGTTAGTCACAGTGGCAATATCTGCATACACTTCTTGCACTAGTTATTATCGTGAATTAATCTCATGTCTTAATGCCTCGTGAAAAGCTATGACTCCCGCCTTGGTGGCGCAATAATTGGCTATTATACAGTAAATTTTGTCATCTCCAGTAATAATATAGCCGCTTGTGCTACTGAAACAAATCCTAGTGCCGACGACACATAGTTTGATTGTGGCTTTCCATCATATAAACTAATCATGCTAATCACTCACAATACAGCAATATGTCCATGATTCTTCCCAACCATTTCGGGCAGGAATGTCTTGGTTATCCAAAACGAAGCAAGAAGATTGGTACCGACTGTGCTATATATGATGAAAGAAACTTTAACATCGTATGCGGCCGGCCACAACTGAACAGCGCGCGCGCTTTTTTATACCTTAATATTTCTTCTTCTGATTCATCTAATATGTTCTTTCCCTTTACTACGCCAGCGTTATTGATGATTATCGTAGGGTGACCGACCTTTGACAATGACAACAGCTTAGATCACGGACTAACAATACGTGTTCACCTATAATTATGCATTACCCACCTCGGCAATAATTTCCTTGGCAATTTTCTGCACCTGATCGTACTTGGATACGTCACATTCAAAAAAGACAATATTAGCTAGTGCGGTTAATAAAAGCAAACAAGAATATTAGTATACAGAAAGCGGAAGAGTTAAATCCATACTCGAGCAGTTTGAATAATGCTAATGCAAGACACAATGCAATACATACGATGCTCTATCTCTGGCTTTCGTATATGCAGCACTACGATCACCACGTTCTTGATCGATAACGTCTCAGCAAGCAACAACCCTATTCCACGAGCACCTAATTTAGAGACGGATGTCGAATTTAGTCATACGTAACGAGCCTACGCGTATATTGACAAACAATAA